CTGACCCCAAGAAAGCCTTTCCAATCAACCCACTTACCCCGCCCGAGATGTCAGACCATGACGCTGGATGCTAGCAGGTGGAAACCACTGTGTGTGTGCATGCGATTGTGTGCATTGTGGGTGTAAATGCATGTACAATCTGTGTATATACATATAGTGTGTACACACGTATATGGTGTGCATGTGTGTAATTGCATGTGTTGTGCTGTGTGATTGTTATGGTTACGTGCATATGCACATGTGGGTGCACGCACGTATATAATTATGTCTGTGTAATAGCACGTGGTTGACTGTGTCATCACGTGCACATGCTTGGATATGATTACACACATACAATCATGTAAGAGTGTGACTGTGTGACTTCCTATTTGCTTACAGGTATGTGTGTGTGCACACGTATGACTGTACGAGTGTGTGATCACGTTGGGTGCGTGTGGCATGCACAAGGGCTTCAGTGCAGCAGCCCCATCTGTGCCCAGGACCCCCGAGCTGCTGTCAGACAGGTAAAGCGCTGGGTAACGGGGACCTCGGATGGGCCAGGTAACGGCTTGGCGGGAAGCCACACGTGCACAGGGGAAGGACCTGGCCACCCAGACAGGGGCTGACTTCCTCCATGTCTTTTCTCCCGAAAAGTTCTTAGAAAAACAGACGGGAGTGAGTGGTGAATGCCACCTCCGTGCCAGGCGGGCTGAGCCTGAGCACTCTCGTCACCGCCTGCCCTCCCCTCAAGCGTGGCATCACATGGGTACACTAAGAGAAACCGAGGCTCGCAGATGATCAGGAGCCAACCCGTTCCTGCACTGGGGGTCCCGGAAGTGAGCGCCCAGCCAGTGCTAACTCTGCCCCCCGTTTCTGACTCAGGACACTTGGAAAACGCTGATCTCAAGGACTTGCTCCATCCTGTCCCTCACAAATGCCAGGGCCCCAAGAAGCTTGCAGCTCCCCCCGCAACTGGCCAAAGGCCTCACGCCAGTCGCAGAGGGCTGGCCCTGGCCCCCGCCATCCACAAGTCCGGCTGGACCACTTACGCTTCTGATGCCCCCCAGAGGCACCCCGATGCCTGCAGGGCTGGGGTCTGGACCCCTCCCTGCCCAGGCTCGCCCTGCCCCAGACGCGGGAGCATGTGGGGTGGGGCGCGGGCGGGCGGCGCACGCACCTTCATGCCCGGGACGATGCGCAGGAACCGGAACGCGATGAGCATGTTCGCCAGGCGGACCATGTCCCACAGCGACAGCAGGCCGTGCACCGCCGGCTTCCTGGAAGGACACAGGGACGGGTCGGGGCAGGCCCGGGACGCACGCGGTCGACAGACGGCGAGAAAGCGGAGATGCAGCGGGCGAGGGGGAGTGACGGGACGCGCCCGTAGCCGCCACCAGGCAGGAAGCCGCCGTCATGGCAAGGGGCAGAGCCCGGAGGCTCACACGGCCGCCACAGGTCAGCTGGTCCCAGTGGCCAACAGGGCACAGCCCCTCACGGTGGCACAGGACCAGCTGACCCGCCGTCCTACACAGGACCCTACTGAGGTTCCGGACACTGGACACCCCAGCTCAGGTCCCAGCAGAGCTGGGAGAGACTTGGCCCCTGACCCGTAACCACATGTCCCATCTGCTGACGCCTTCCCCTGACCTCGTTGTCTGTCCCATCCCGTCCCTCGCCCCCGGAACCTGTTCCCTGACCTATCCCTTGGGTGTCCCTCGTGGCCTCACCACACTCTCATTTCTCACCCAGAATGTCACCCCACGGTCCTCAGACCTGTGCAGGGCAGGTGTGAGTGCACTTCACACACAAGTGTGCCGGCCCCGCTCGGCCGCCAAGGACGGCGCCAGCCCTGCCTTCCTCGACAGACCCTCCCGGCCCGCTCCGTCTGCCGCGGCACCCAGCCCCACCAAGAAAGCCTGCATGTTTTTGAGCAGGCCCAGGATGGTGCTGGCCACCACAGCCATCAGCTGCGGACAGGAAGAGAGCGGGGCCCCTGTTCCTCCTGGTCCCACTGAGGTGGCACCAACCCTGCCCACCGCCCTCCCCCCAGAAAGGCGGGTGAGTTCATACCGACCCACACAGCTGTACACACACCGCAGAGCCACGCCTCCACCGCCACACACACACCTGTACACACACACAGCTATACACACATACGGCTGTACACACAACTGTCACCCATACACACCCACACACACACACCCACAGCCACCTCTATAAAACCGCACATGCACACGTGTATATAGAGCTATACATACCTATATATACACACACACCCCTGTACACACAGCTGTACACACACCGTAAGCCACCCCTACACAATCACTGTACACACCCACCTAAACACACTCATTCATCCCCCCCACACCCAGACACCTCCAGCCACCCGGCCTTAGCGGGGTCTGGGCTCCAAGTCCCTGTGGTGAAGCCCCAAGAGCAGGACAGACCACACTGCCTGCCAACCCACTGAGGCTGGGGCTAGCTAGCTCCTCACTGGTCTGGGGGTGTCCAGGTCAGCCCTGGTGACCGAGCCTGGGGATGGG